TGTCTACTATTCTGATGTCCCAGTTGCCGATGCCAAACTAAGCGTGAGTCATCTCGCTGTACTTTCATTGCTGAATGTGTCTGTATAGCCTTGTACCAAATAACCCCCCCTGAAAGCTCACCGGCTCCAATTAGCATCCTCGAGGTACGGTCCTGTATTATACAAAACTCATTAGTAAACATTATTTGACAATTTAACACAGAAATCAACTGAGAAATGTATATCAAATTGCAAGTTAAATGTGGCATATATAGAACATCAGTCAACACCATTCTTGGACTTGAAACAACGCTACCAACGATCGTCGCCATCATTCTCGACCCATTAGGTAAGTAAACGGGCATCGGGATTGTATTCTTGAGATCACTCAAAAGCTCCTTCTTACCTGTCATGTGATTCAAAGCCCCACTATCAAGTATCCAAGTAGGTGTCTTAGAAGCCTTACCAGAAAGCTTTTTGGCGTTATCACTGGAACGATCCAACATGTTTAGTAGTTTCTGGAATTGTTCCGTCGACAAAACCTGAGTGCCTGTGCTACTATACTTTCTTTGGCTGGTCCCCCTGCTACCGCGACAAAGGCCTGACCTCGCCCTCAGAACTTGTCAATGCGCTCACGTCCTCTTTTGCCCTTGTACCAAGTCGGATAGCCTTGGAGCTCGAAGCAATCCGCTACGTCGTGCCCGAGCTTGTGGTAATGTGAACATCTTTTCTCCACCTCACTTTACTGTTTTGTCCAAGATTGTCGAGCTCATTTTCCCTTAGCCGCTGTGTTAACTGTCATCACCATCACCTCTGGGCGCTCCTCTTGTCCTCGCACAATCAATCGATGTCTTTCTTCTTTACTAATCATAGCATAGGCTTTATTGACAGGAGGTAAAGGCTCCATGTTGAGTATTTGAGATCGCACCGTACCAAAAATAGCGTCGTCGAGTCCTATGAGAAACTGTGATGCAGTTTCTCTTCTTTGCGCTCATGAAGAAAGTCGTGTGCCACTCCACAAGTACAGCTTGGCACTTTAGAATAGCTACAGAGTTCATCCTACATGCTCTTCAATTGCGTGTAATATGCCATCACCGTCATCCCATTTTGCCTGGTCGATGCAATCTGGCCTTTCAACTCATGAATCTGAGGTGCATTCCCCATTGAAAAACGATTACGTAGATCTTTCCAAATAGCTTTAGCTGTCTCCTCGTAGGTTATACTTGGCTGAATGGATTTTTCGATAGAGTTGAAAATCTAAGAAATCATCATCGAGTTGCAAGAGGACCAACTATTCGTCTTTGGTGTATCCGGTGCCGGCTTCTCCAGTGTGCCATTGATAAAACCTACTTTGTTCTTTGCTCTAAGTGCGTTCGTCATCGCCTTCACCCACATATCGTAGTTTTCTCCATTCAGAATGCAAGTGGTGATCACCACTCCCGGGTTATCTGAAGGATGTAAAAAGAACGGAGAAGACATATCCAAACCTTTTTTGTTGGCTGCGTTTCCCTCTGTCATGATTTCAGTAAGAGAAAAAATGGGTCTGTTTTTATGGCGATACAGTTGGGTTTAGGAAGAAGAAGGGCAGCGACTATGGGTTTAGGGAGAAGAAGAGGTGGCGGCTATGGGAGTTGTCTCTCAAAAATCAATAACGCTGCTCTGATACCATATAGAAATTGAGAAGAAATATTATTGAATTTGAAAATAAACAAGGGATTACATCTTATACTACTCAATAACAAGATAACTACTTATCTTAACTACATATATCTCTTATCTAATAATTAACCAACTAACCAAAAATATCACTAAGGATATCTTCGTATCATCAACAGTCCCCATTTCTTCACTATTATATGACATCTACACTATTTTAGGAGAAGTTGAATACGCATTATGTCTTACTTGACATGTTTTTTCCGTTTCGCTTTTTTACATAAACATACAAAGCGATGAGAGAGAGTCACTTTCACACTTTCATTTTTTAGTTTCAAATAAACAAACACACCACTCAAGTAATAAAGCGCTTCTTCAAGTAATTTTAGTAATGAAGTTTATATATCCATTAAGAGCTTTCTGGTTATAGCCACTGATGTACATTTTAATAACTAGTATAGTGCACGTGCATTGCACGTGGACATATTTGTTTTATGTTCTAATACTAGTTTACACAATTTATTATTTACTTAATGGAAGAGTTTCATTTTGAATGTAATTATAATAACATTTGAGGACTTATTTGTAATATTCTTACAATTTAGATCATATACTTCTTTTAATCTAAGTTTTGAACTATATAGGGGTTTATCTGTAAAAATTATGAAGTTTTAGTATTTTTTTATAAATATATGAAATTTTAATGGTCTTTGTGAAAATTATGAAGATCCATGGTTATTTGTAAAAAAATTCAGGGTTATTTTGTGAATATTGGCAAATCATGGAATACCCAAAAGATATAATTTTTTTAATATTAAAAGACATAGTTCTATTTACTTTATAATTTAAGATAATGAATGACATTTAATAACTATTGGTAGTTTTATGTGCAAATTTAGAATATAGTTTTAACATTAGGGAGGTTATAATATACTTATTATATAAAAAAATTTACACAAAAGATAAAAATTTCAAGTTTGTTCTTTACTTTTATGTTAAGTGTGTCATGATATTCCAGTTTATATTAATTATCTTTATTTTTGCTATTCCATTATAACAAAATAAAATTCTCACTTTCACCTTCTCTCTTTGCTATTATCATATAATTAGTAACATGCTAAAAAAAATATATCTACTAAGTTCATGGATAATATAATATTTTTCTCAAATCACAATTAAGTACAAAATAATAATTATAGAAATAGAAAAAAATCATTACTTAGACCTCAAACTTTAACCTCAATCCGAATTCTCCATATTTTCTTGTATCAATCGTATCCCCAATCCGCATACAGCCGTCAGTCTAACAATCACATCAGCATAAAGTATAATCCGAGTAAAGCTCAGTACTTTCTCAGCACAACTTCAATCGTCTTCACCACCCTTTGTCGTTATCTCTTCTGAAGGGATAATATTTTCACTGGCGAGCTTGTATCATCCAAATAATATCATAGTAAAGCCATAGGAGTGAGTATAGGATGCTGTTAGGGTTGTAAGAGGTGAGTGTAAATCTAAATCATAAAATGAGTGAATTTATATAGGTTGCAAGTAAGGGCTATTATGATAAAAATAACAGGCTCTTTGGATTCCGTAACAGCCAATTGTAATTGCTACTTAAATAAAAACTACAATTAAAAATTTAACTCTCATTTCAAGTATGCATGAATGCATGTACTAATGGCATTTTAAGTTGATACTTTGTTTGCAAATTAAAATGTATATTATTAGTTTGTCATATGTGCGTTTTAAGTGGAGGGGTTATAAAAAATAAAAGTTAATATTAGTAAACAATTAATAGGAGAGTTATGCCATTATTAAGAATGTATGCATGTAAGCATTTTAAGTTGACACTTTGTTTGCAACTTGAAACATATATTATTAGTTTGTCATATGTGTGTGCATTCAATTCTCAGTTATTATGTCAAATACATCTTACAATATTAAATTTTCATTAATATTGGATTAGTGGAGGGGTAGTTTGTCATATGTGTGTGCATTCAATTCTCAGCTATTATGTCAAATACAACTTACAATCTTTAAAAAAAATTATGATTAACATTAATATTGGATTAGTGGAGGGGTTACAAAAAATAGAAGTTAATATTAGTAGACAACTAATAGGAGAGTTATGCCATTATTAAGAATGTATGCATGTATATGTATGTGTTTATATGTATGCAAATATGTGTTTTATGGATGCATGTATGTGGTTTGGAGGGCATTTTTGGAAGAAATGTTTTAACATACAAACACACTTTTATAATAGTATTAGTGTTATATGCTAGCTCACGCCCTTGATGTTGCGATAAGACGATGGCAAATGGAAAAAATAACAAAATTAGTAGATGGTAAAGCCGAAGAGGTTAGTTCCATAATTGAATAATTAATTGATAAAGTTTCTATTTTTTCAATCAAACATTATTTGCATGTTTATTCTATTTCAAAAAAGTTACAAGTTATGGAGTATGTTATACTAATGATGAATGTCTGTTATATCAATGATGAATGCATGCGGAAGATAATTGATGCAAATTAATTAGAAGGTCCCGATTTAGGATTTGTCACATTTTTGTTGACCATGTTGAAGACTTATTAGATGAGGAGAGGCTGATTATTGTTGATTTTTCTTTGTTGACTCATTTATGTTTGTAGTCAATTACATTAGTGTAATTAAATACATTTTATTTTGAGTTTTGGGGTTAAAGTATCATTAAACTTTGCAATTTTACTGAATAGGACACGTCTCATCAATGTTCATTTCAGTTGTTAAACAGTTAAGAATTAACTGTAAATATATTATGAAATAACTAGTAAAATATTCTGTAACAAAAAATATATTATCGAATCAAATAAAAATGAAGAAATATTTTAATTAATTTTTAAATTGTAGAAAACAATTTGGCAGGAAAATACTTATTTTTCTAGTTAGTTGCGACTAAAATCAATTTGGGAAATGAAACCAATGAAATATTTTTCTAGTATAAAAATATGACAAATATCTTGATATAAAAATAAATGTAAAAAATGGTTTAAATCTAAAATAATAATAACCGGTGAGGCGGGAAAATTTTACAAAAGGGGAAAAGTAGGGAGAAAATTTAAAAAAAAAGAGCGGGACAAAGAAACGGAGGGAACGGGAGATAAATTAGGAAAATGGGTTATATTAGACAAAAGCACGCTGATTATGCTAATTGACTATTCGGAATAAAATCAAAACAGAATCAGCGATAAGAATCCGCATCTGATTTAGAGAACGAAGAAAAAAAACCGCGAAAATATTCCCAAGCGCGATCTATTTATTCACAGCGGGCCTTCTCATCTTCCCCCACAAAATATCTCAAAACGCAATTAAAACCCTAACCCCAATGGCGAAGAAGCAATCACCTCTTGCTCCCAACCCTCATTCTCCTCGAGAGGTACACAAAAACCCTGACCCTAACCCTCTGGGGAAAAAGCAACCGCCTCCCCCTCCTAACCCTAACCTGTTGGCGAAAAAGCAAGCCCCTCCCCCTCCTGATAACAACCCTAAGCCGATGGCGGAAAAGCGACCGCCACCTTCTTCCTCATCTGATCAGGATCGAGAATCATCCTCCGCCTCCAATGGAGGAGGAGCGGAGCCGTCATCAAGAAGCCCAACAACACCCAAGCCCCAGCCAACAACCAGGAAAAAGAAGAAGAGGAGGAGGAAGAAGAAACCGGCTACGAGACCGAATCAAGCGAGGATGAAGAGGGCGAAGAAGTAAACCAACCTGAAGCCAAGAGGCCCCAGCCCATCTCCGCTACAGCGGCTATCCCCGCCCTCAAGCCTCGCGATGCCAGCGAGAAGCCAAACGGAAAGGACGCGGCCAACGGTGGAGGAGATGAGGAGGGCGAGTCGGGCTCCAGTAGCAGCGACGAGGACGGAGAACGCCTGCCCAATACCAAGAAGGCCCGGGCAGCCACCCCCGTGCTCAGACCCCGTGACGGGGGAGGGAAGCCGAACGGAAAAGGAAGAAACGCCGGTCCCAAGACCCCGTTCCAGCGGATCTGGACCCTCGAGGACGAGATAGGCATCCTCAAGGGTATGACTAGGTTTGAGGCCGAGCACGGCCCCGTCAAGATCAACCCGGCGGGGATCCGGCTTTTCCACGACTTTATGAGAGACTCGTTGAGCATCGAGGTTAGTGATTCGCAGCTCTACGAAAAGGTTAGGAGGTTGAGGAGGAAGTACGAGCGCCGTGCGGCGAACAGAGGGAAAACAACCAGGTTCAGGGGAGCTCACGATGAGGAAGTGTACCAACTGTCCGAGAGAATTTGGGGGGCGGTGCCCGGTGACGATACCGAGGCGAAGAAAGTCGCGGAACCTGAAAGGGCGACGACCGTGCCGGGCGGTAGTGAAGGCGCTGCCGGATCAGGGAGTCTGAAGAGGAAGTACCCCTTCTTGCTGGATGCCCTGGGGAGGTCCCTATCTGCGGGGCTAATGGAAACGTTTTACGACCCGGAGGACGCCAGGCTTTTGGAGGCCCATTTTAAGAAGCAAAAGGTGGCGGAGATAAAGTTGAAGACAGCAGCCTACGAAAAGTTTTTGGAGGATATGAAGAAGGCGAGTACGGAGTGAGTTCGGGAAGCTAATAAGTCTCGTTGGTAACAATTTATGATATTTAGTAATCAATTAGCTGCTGCTGCTTTTGCAAGAATTCCTTAGTTTTAGAATTTGATGCAATTGTAGGGTTTATCTCGGTTAATTGGCATATGAACCGAGTTTGATGTGCGGATGTCGTGGCTTCATAGTAGTTGGGTTAATGTCTTAGCTTTAGACTTTGATGCAAATTGTAGGGTTTATCTCGGTTATTTGGCATGACCCAGCGCTCTCTTCCCCAAAAAATCAAAACTATCCCCAATTTCCTCAATCTCTCTCAGATCGGTCTCTCTTCTATCTCTCAAATCTCTCAATCCCTCCTCCTCCCCCTCTCAGATCCCATAAATCCCTTGCAACCACGAGATCCTACACCCCAAAAACCGCTCCGCCACGACCGATCTCTCTCGCGCCGCCACCAGATCCGCTTCCTCCCCACAGCGCTCGCGACCCCAGACCGACGGCACCGCCACGAGCAGCGCACCCCCCGAGCACCGAACCACCACGAATCCCACGATCTCCAGCCCTCTCCGTCGCTCGTGACCCCAGACCGAGCAGCGCACCCCCCGAGCACTGCCCCCTCTCTCACTCCATCCGTCGTGACCCCATCCACCACCACCACTGACCGAGCACCGCACCGCCACGAGATTCAGGTAATTATTCTATAGCTTATGTTTGAAATCTCCTGATTCTGTGATTTTAATAATGAAAGTGGAATTAAGGATCTGCAAGAAGAAGGAATGCCAAGGATGTGTTCTGGAATAGCCAAGGATGTGTTCTGAAAAAAGAGTAGTTCATTCCGGAATCGTATATTAATGAGAGTTTTTTACATTTCGGAATCGTATATTAATGAGAAAGAAAAAAGAGTTTTTTACATTTCAAATTAAAGTACATTGATGTCAAATAGCCAAGGATGTGTTCTGAAAAAGAGTTGTTTTAATTTTCTCTGTAGGAATCTGAAATCGGGTTAGGCAGGGGTTAACCCTTCACCGAGCTTGCAAAGATGCTCATGTATTTTGGTGTTAGTAGAAACAGAGATGTAGTTCATTTGCATGATTCCTTCTTTCAAAATATTTTATCAACCAATTTCTATTATTTTCTTACCATATATGGACACAAACGTGAAGAAGTTATGTACATGAGTCAATCATGATAACAGTTATAAATTCATGTATTTTTCTTATTGAGTCTTGGTTATAAATTCATGTATTTTATTCACGGGCATTTCAGACATTTTATATGCTGATGACTATAGTAGATTTACACTAGATTGTTTTGAGAGTTTAAACTGAAATTGATATTTGGGTATTTTATAGTTGTTTCTTGATGAGTCCATGCATCTCTTTTACAACAAAAAAAGTGTTCGGAATGGGAGAATCAAGTGCTAGTGGAATTGAAATTTCTGCCAGTACAGAAAATGCTCCTAAGCCACTACTCGGAATGAAATTTAATACTTATGAAGAAGCTTATAACTATTATAACCATTACGCATTGTTGATGGGTTTTGGAATAAGGAAGAGCACGGTAAATTACTCGAAGAAGACAAGAGACGTGCTGGATAGAAAGTTTGTTTGTGATAAGGAGGGCTATAGATCTAATAGAGACAAGATGGAGATGCCTTTTCGGCGAGAGACCCGAGTGGGATGTAAGGCAATGATGAGAGTTAAAGTATTGGAGGACAAATCGTGGGAGGTCACGGGGTTTGTTGAAGAACATACAAATCATGTGTTGAGTAGTCCAGACAAAGCAAAGATGCACAGATCACACCAACAATTCCATAAATCTCAAAGTTGTAAAAGACTTATTGAGAGTCTTGCAAGAAGAAGGAATGCCTCCATCCACTATTTCTCGCGTCATTAACGCAACCACTGGAAGAGAAGGCGAATTAGTGACACCACAACAGTGTATTGATCACATCAGATACCAGAGAGTCAACAATATTGACCATGAATGCATATCTATCATAAAACATTTTCAGAGTATGACAGCGAATGATCCAGAATTCTATTTTGCAATAGAAGTGGACAATAGTGGACAAATGAGGAGTGTTTTCTGGACTGACGGAAGATCAAGAGCGTCTTATTTGCAATTCAGTGATGTTGTTGTGTTTGATGTGACATACAGAACTAATAAGTTCAGTCTTCCATTTGCTCAATTTACTGGTGTGAATCATCATAGACAGTCCACTTTACTTGGTTGTGCATTATTAGCTGATGAACAAGAAGATACCTTTGTGTGGTTATTTGAAGAATGGCTGAAATGCATGCATGGGGTTGAACCAGGTGCTATTATAACAGATCAGGATAGAGCCATGTGTAATGCTATTCACTCTGTGTTTCCACTAACAAGACATCGTTATTGATTTTGGCACATGCAAAAGCACATTATTGATCATTTGCCTACTTTGGTTTCTCGTTATGGTGAACAGTTTCAAAGGTATTGGGGCTTATGGTGTAATAGTTCTTCAATTGAACAGTGTGAAGGATATTGGCTAGAGATGAAGGAGAAGTTTGATATAAATGAAGAAGGGGATGGATGGTTGCAAACTGTTTACAAATATCGAGAACATTGGGTGTCATGTTATTTGAAGGACACTTTTTTTGCTGGAATGAGATCGAGCCAAAGAAGTGAAAGTATTAATGCATTTTTTGATGGGTATGTTAACTCACGGACTCAATTACACGAGTTTGTATTACAATATGAAAAAGCATTAACTCATCGTCGCTTAAGTGAAGCTCATGAAGATTTTAAGAGTCTTAACACAAAGCCTGTCATGCTCCTTGGACATCCGATTGGGGTCCAAGCTGGAGAAATGTATACACGCAACATATTTGATGTGTTCCAAACTGAATTCAAAGGATTTGCTACAGAGTTTTGTGAAGAATTGAGCAAAGATGGGGATATTATTGAATACAAGATTTGTAAGTTTGCAGATAGAGAAAAATGGGAGGTGGTTACTTATGAAGAATCCAGTAAGATGCAATTCATTTGTTCTTGTGCTTTGTTTGAAACTAATGGTGTTGTATGTAGACATATATTGTCGCTAATGATGGCTAGCCAAATTTCTTCATTACCCGACCATTACATCCTACACCGTTGGACTATACATGCTCGACATCGTAACATTGGGGTTGGCAATATTGTATTTGGAAGAAACCTCACAAGCTGTGAAGAGAAGATTAATTTGTTGAAATCTTGGGCTTTAAGAGCAAAATTCAATAATGCGCTCGAGCTTGCATTTGATTCAGAAGAAAGGATGCAGAAATTAGATAATGTGTTAACAAAATTCATAGAATCACTTGAAGAAGAAGTTAGAGAAACAGAAACAGAAGATAATCCTCAGATTTCCGCACCCATTTCACATACAATGGAGCACATTCCTCAGATTACAGTTCGTGATCCTGAAAAATCTGCAAGGACTAAAGGTCGGCCACGCAATGCTACTAGAATTCAGTCAGGATTAGAACAAGCACAAGAAAAGAGAGAGAGGAAGAAGCGTATATGTAGCAGATGTGGTGAACTCGGGCATTATAGAACTGGCTGTAAAGTCAATTTGCCAAGGTACAATTTCTTTATTTTTTATATTTAGCTTTTTTGTGAATTTCTTATTAGATTAGTTTTTAGTCGAATTTGCCAAGGTATATAGAAGTCACAGTTTTTGTTTTTAGTCGCATTATCTTCCAGATTTCATATTTTGAACTTGCCCTCTGACATTTATAATAGCATATTGAGTTGGTTATCTTACTGTCTTGACGTTCTATTTTCTTTTTTGTAGGTAAGAGCAAAAAGAAATCTGCAAGCTGGGTAGATTGCAAGCTGGGCTTTTGTTGAGCCAAATTGGTATTTTATGGGAGAATCAAGTTGTTGGAAGAAGATGGGTAGATTGTACTCTGTATGAAGTGTTGAGCACTTTGATTATGCTTCCCTTTGTTATAGTACTCTGTATGAAGTTCACATTGGTGACTTTTTTATTTGTTGAGCATTTTGTGCAAATTTTATGTATGAATTTGCTTCTCATTTTGATCTCATCTGCGTATTGTTATTGCGCATGTTTGAAGATAAGTAGATTGTACTCTGTATGAAGTGCATTTTGTTTGTTGAGCACTTTGATTATGATTTGTACTTTGTTCTTTCTGTTGATATGAATTTGCTTCTCATAATAGCATGTTGTGATTAGAACAGGTTGAACTCAGCAGATGAGATAAATGGTTTTTTCAGCATGTTGTGAGATTGGAGCTTTTGAAATGGGACCCTCTTTATAATATGACCGATTTTGAAGAAATGAAATGGTACAAGCTTCTTTTTGATTATGGGCTACCAGGAAGAGATGAAGCTTTTGATCCTAAAGATGTTGATGCAAATCTTATCCCGGAGCTAGTAGAAAAGGTAGCTCTCCCCATCTTGCACCATGAAATCTTACACTGTTGGGATATGTTCAGCACAAAAAGAACGGAGAATGCAGTATTTACCACTAATTTAGTCGTCACATATGTTCCAGTCTCGAGTAAGGCTCTCCAAGAGCTACTATCAGTTGTTTGCTCTCGGCTCACGCAGGCCATTACTGACCTCAGTGTTCCAGTGTGGAGCTCCGTCGTGATGAGAATTGTGCCTGGTGCTGCTCAGTTAGCTGCTTACCAATTTGGGACATCAGTTCGGCTCCTGAGGAATATTTGTCTGTGGAAAGATGTACTGTCACTACCAGTTCTAGAGAAGCTTGCTCTTGAAGCGCTCTTAAAAGGAAAGTTACTCCCTCATATCCAAAGCATAATGTCGAATGTCCATGATGCTATAACTAGAATGGAGAGGATTGTTGCATCAATGTCAGGGGTTTGGTATGGGCCTGAGGTCACCGTAAATCACAGCAAGAAGTTGCTTCTCATAATCACAGTAAATCACATCAAGAATCTAGAGAAGGCAAACCATCACATACGAGGAATTGAATCCACTCTAAGTAATAGATATTCCAACAGACCATCTGTAAAAAATCTCTGAAAACCATCATACATCTGTTAAAATAATTTAATATAAAGGGTTTTTTCTGAAGCTGTTGTGCGTACAAACTGCGCACAACTCATATATACAAAAGTACCACAAAAACGCTCAAAATTGAGTACAAACTACGTACAAAATGACACAAGTTGTGCAAGCTTATCCTCACATTGAAAAATCATACACGAATAACATCACATGTTTCCCTTAATAGATAAACCAACAAATATTGCAACGATACATACTAGAAATATTAAAATGGTAAACACTGAACCTAATAAAAAAGCAAAGATGTACTTAATAGCAGTTTCCCTTGCAGTTAAATCCCTTGTCATCTCCTTTTCATCTCCTTTACAGTTAAATCCCTTGTCCTCAAGAAGATTATTCCCCTCTGGAAACATTTGTTCCTGAACACAAACATGTGGCTGCACATGCCTTGAGCTGGATGATGAATCACGCGCACTTAAGTGCTTCTCCCATTCACTCAAAGCCTCTTCATACGTTGCATACCCTTTATAGGATGCATTTGGGAATCTATCAACTTGAGAAAAGCATTCCTCCCAATTATCAAAAATACCACAACGTCGACCTCTTTTTACAACATAAAAACTCTTTCTTGCCATTATATCACCTGGAAATTTGTGCCTTGAACGGTTCTATTATCAATGGAAAAAAGACAAGTGAATATTGATGCTCCAGTTCTATATATTGATGTTTAGACCTCTTTTTAAAACATAAATAACCTCACAAACTGTGAAACTACTATTAAGTGAGATCACAGGCATACTAAACAAGCTGACATTAAGTGAAACCTCACAAGCTGTGAAAATTTGAGCTTTCATATGTTATGTGAAAATACTACATCCAAGATCAAGGTATTCTCTTTGGTCCAGTCTATGTTTGAGTTCTGTCTCCATTTGATGTGATTTTCAAATTTCCACATTATATTTTGTCTTGAAGAGATATTTGTTGCTATTTAATACCAACGATTTGTTTTTGACCGCCATACAATGTGTAATACTCTACAGAGTCTGAAGAAAACAGAGGACTACAACTCATTTTTTGGACTTCTAAACATGATAGTTATGGTGATTTCATGTTGTCCATGTTTAGTTTCTCACAACAAATAATGATATACTTACAGTTTGTATCTAATCACAAGCAAACTAGTGAATTACATGAACTAAACCCAGAATCAACAACCCAGAACCAAAATTCATTCTAGCTCATCATTAGGAATATATGTTAATAAATTGACACTCTTTGCTCCTTAATTCCAATCAAAAGACCAAAATTATAGGATACTCCTTAATTCCACTTTCATTATTAAAATCACAGAATCAGGAGATTTCAAACATAAGCTATAGAATAATTACCTGAATCTCGTGGCGGTGCGGTGCTCGGTCAGTGGCGGTTGTGGATGGCGTCACGACGGATGGAGTGAGAGAGGGGGCAGTGCTCGGGGGGTGCGCTGCTCGGTCTGGGGTCACGAGCGACGGAGAGGGCTGGAGATCGTGGGATTCGTGGTGGTTCGGTGCTCGGGGGGTGCGCTGCTCGTGGCGGTGCCGTCGGTCTGGGGTCGCGAGCGCTGTGGGGAGGAAGCGGATCTCGTGGCGGCGCGAGAGAGATCGGACCTGCGGAGCGCTGCTTGGGGGAATGGAGCTCGTGGTTGCAAGGGATTGAGAGATCTGAGGGGGGGAGGAGGAGGGATTGAGAGATCTGAGGGGGGAGGAGAGAGAGATCTGAGAGAGATTGAGGAAAATTAGGGATAATTTTGATTTTTTGGGGAAGAGAGCACTGGGTCACGAGATGGTATCACGTTGGCTTTTTTTTCAAATAAACCCAAGCAGCGCTCCGCACTGTAAGCTGGGCAGTGCTCCTACAGTTTTCTCATATGAGAGAGAGAGAGAAATATGGTCCCACATCCACTCATTACCCATCCATGGTAGTGATGTGTCACATCCTCATCCACTCATTACCCATGTAAATGTGGTCCCACATTTGAATAAGTGGAGGGAGATATGACACCTCACTACCAAGCATAACTTTTTGTACTTGGTACCAAGCATACCCGTATTTCTCATATATTTATATATATATAATGACAAGTGTTTGCGCGAGTCATGTTTAGTTTTCATAATTTCCAACAATGATTAAAAATAAAAATAATTACGCTTTTATGGCTCGCATCTCCGTGTACATTTCAAGCTTCGTGGAAAGCACTTATATGTTTTGTAAGCTTTGTTACAATGTCTTTGATGTTTATAAATGGGCAAATCCTGATGCACGGGTAAAGTACCTATATAATGAAAGGGAAAAACGCTATAACCCCCAAGAATTTGCAAAAAATTCCTAGGAAGTTTCCGAAAATTTTGAAATGTGGGAAAAGTCAAGTGAGAAAGGAATGGAGAGAGGAGTGGAATGAAATGTGGGAATGGAAGAGAAGACGTTGTCTTTATCCTTAATTGTAGAGAATGCCTTGAATTATATAGATGGAAAAATAAGATTGGTTAATACAATGGGCCCCACAATCAAAACACTTTTATATAATTTGTTAATTAATATAATACATAGGTCTATAAAGTGAGAGATTGTTATTGATGAGTCGTAGGCATCATCTACAATCTTGGGATGTAAGGATCCATGACAATGAACGTCATGACTCATCTCCATATTTACATCATTTAGTTCACGATGTTATATATAGTAGTATATATATATATATATATATATATATATATATATATTATATATATATATATATAATAATATATATATATATATATATAATATATATAATATAATATATATATATATATGGAAAAGTGAATTCTAGAGTGACACCCTAGACTCGGCCAGCGCTAAAGGACGCAGCCGTAGATATCACAATCATTTCCCGTAAAATTTTTACGATTCCACATCTTTGAACTTGAAATCTAGCGAGTACACCCCAACCTACAACGTTCTTAAAAAAGCCAAACACACGCAATTTAGGGGGTGAACGGTCGTTGTGTTTTGACCATTTCGTACATGAGCCGTGGCAAAAGTTATTCATGCGAACGCGTTAAAATTGCAGCGCAGTGATAAATGGGGGAAGGGTCAAAACAATATATAGTATAAGTATATATATAATATATATATATATATATTATATTATATATATATAATATATATATATATATAATATATATATATATATATATAATATTATATATACTAATATAATATAAGGGTATATATTAGTAGTATAGAATAGCCATATATGGAAAAGTGAATTAAGGGTGACACCCGTAGACTCCCACCTAAAGGACGGAGCGAGAGAGCACATCACTTTCCTAAAATTGTTTACGATCCACTCCGTTAGAACTTGAATCTACACGGCGTTCTTTAACGCCAAACACAAGGGTCGCTCGGGAGATGCGAACCAATTTTGGGGTGAACATCGTTATGCTTTTCGACCAGTTATCGTTGAGGAGCGTGCAAAAAGTTTTATTCATTCGAAAAACGCGAGGTTAAAGGAAGATTGCAGCGAGAGTGGATAAGAGGGGTCAAACACGGCATGGTCACCCCAAAATATGGGGATGGGCGTTTAGTTTAAGACGGCGGTAGATCAAAGTTTACATAGAGCGGAAGATGCGCGCAAATAAGAGGAGAAAGGATGTGATTCATACGGCCCAGCGCCGTCTCACTAGAAGGGAGCGCCTCAGAGGTAGTCCACCCTATCTATGATCCACTTTTCCCCATATATGACGTATATATAGTAGATTACATGCCTATATATATATATGATTATAGTGAGTGAGTATATATGTATAGTAGTATAGTACCGGGTAATAATTTATATATACTAATAGTAGCAAAAACGATCAAGTAGAACGGAACAATGCTAGGACGGAGAAAACAATTGCCTAGTCTACGGGGTGAGAGAAACAAGATCGGGAAGATTTTTCGTCTAAAGGTGAGTCCAGCGTAACGTTGGGTTAAACTAGATGGAGAAAATGTTCCGTTTTAGTTTGGTCAAACGAGAACAAAAAAAGGTCCACGCTGACGGAAATTTCCGTCTAGGTTGGCATGGTCAAACCTGAGACGGAAATTGCCGTACCTAGGTTGACAAGGGGCAACTATCTAGCCAAGAAAATTACCGTACTAGGGTTGCGCGACGGCCCTAGAAGGAGTAGCAAACGATGAAAGCGTTATCTTCTCGCGGCAGCCGCCACCGCCGCCATGGTCTCTCGCTTCATTTCACTCTCGTCTAGCTCTCGCGCGCGCGCGCCTGCCACGGACCCCGCCATCCATCTGGCCGCCTCCCGGTGGCCCATGGGAAGGTGCAGGAGGTGGGCATAGAGCGAAAGCGTCCCATCCCCCATTACCGACCCTCCTGACCCCCCTGTCCCCGAGCCCCTATATTCGGCCTGAGGACGCGGAGGCGTCATGTGGAGCCGTCCAGGCAGCCGCGCGCCACCGACAGCGGGGCCGGCGTTGCATCGGTAGCCTCCGGCATATCGCGGGAGCAGACGGTCATAAATGCACGACATCACCCAAGAGACCAACCCCTCTCCTCTCCTCTCTCCTCCTGACTCCTCCCCCCCGAGTCCCCCCTCCCCTCTGGCTAGCTGTCCCTCCCCCCTCCCCGACCCACGCCTCCCCCCTCCCGGTAACGAGCGCCACAGCGGTCTGAAAAACTCGCAGCCTTCCCCCTTCCCCCTCCCGTTGGAATAACAGGACGCTGAGCCGGCCGGGGGCGGTGCCCGCCTCCCCCCTGCGTCAGACCCCGATGCGCCCTACACCAGTGCGCGACGAGCAGCGCCCACCCTTCCCACCCTCCTCGCAGCGCGCGCGCCCCCGCGAGGCGGCACCCTTCCCAGCGCGCCTGCCCGACCCGCATCCCCCTATGGGGCAGCCCCCGCTCGGGACGCTCGTCCCGCGCCCCCCTTGGCAGCCCGCCCCTACAGCGACCCCGCCCCCCCCTCCCGACCCCCACCCTCCCGAGCCCCCCCGGTGTGTCCGTTGTTGAATCTGCTTAAAAGGTATGATTTTTCTACTGAGCTTTAGAAATTTTAATTTTATTATTATTTATTATTGAATTTGGTTTAAAACCCTAATTATGATAAAAAAAAACGAGTTCAATTCTGAAAACCCTAACTCAACTATATGTTAATTCATTTGAACAACACTAGTAATCATTATTGAGTTTTAAACACTTATAAACCCTAACACAATTAAGTTTCATCCGTGCTATAAGTAGGTGTGAATATGTAAGTTTGTGATGTGAAAATATGTGAAATAAAATTAAAAAAAAGAGTGATATATAACACATTATAAATTTTTATAATGTGTTATAATCCAATTTAGGTGAATAAAAAAATAACGTTATCCCTAGACTTCCGTTCAATAATTACATCTAATTCTTTGGACTTATAATATATGATATACGACTCAGATTTGGGCAGGAGACGAAGTTTTCTCCCGAAAATGAGCGTTTATTTTATATTATACAAAAATATTGGTACTGAAATTCGTAATTATTGGATCTGTCCTTCTCGGACAGGTTAGGAATATAGTAGTGCATACATCCAACTTTGTATACTTTGTATATTTTTATTCTTGAAAGTTTTGGCAGCAC